GCTGAAGACTGCAGCTGCCTGGGCAACAGGACCCGGACACTGCTTCAGAGTGGCCCTCAGAAAGGGGGCGGGGTTTCTCAGGGAAGGCTCTGATTTCTCCACTTCCTTATCCGTGCTTGCTACTGTCTGTGGCTTTTTTCCTGCCTACCCTGTTCATGTGTGTGAAGCTGCACCTCCTGGGAACTTGGACTTGGGTTTCCAGAATGATGCAGAGCTGCTGTCATGAGCTGGCTGACCACGCCTGTAATCCCAGCACTCAGGAGGCAGAGGCGGAAGCATCCTGAGTTTGAGGCAGCCTGGGTTACCTAGTGAGACCCTGTCTCTAGGGAAACTGAGTTCAGCTGTAGAACTCAGTGGTAATCTCGCCTCTTGTGTCTTGTGGCCTGGATTTATTTATTTAATCCATCACTGAAAAGGGCAGGTGGTGCGTGGGTGATAGACTTCAACTTTTTTTTTTTTTTTTTTTTTTTTGAGTGGTAAGAGTGGAAGGCCTAGCTTGTCAGAGATGGCGCATGCCGTTAGTCCCATCACAGAGGCACAGAGCAAGTTCCAGGACAGCCAAGGCCACACAGATAAACTTCATCTAAGAAAAACAAACAAACAAATGAACAAAACAGTGCCTGAGTTCTATCCCCAAGGAAGGAGGGAACAGACTCCTGCAGTTGTCCTCTGACCTCCGTGTGCTGCAGTGCGCGCACACACGTGCACACACACAGAGTAGTGCACAAGTGTGAAAAAGTGCGTTCCTAAATGTCGTAGTAGTATTCTGAATGATTCCGTCACTTATTTTCTCAGCTTCATCTTCAGATCTCTCGTTGCTAGGCTGTGCAGGTAGACTTGCATGTCGGTGTTACGCCCTACAAGTTTATCACAGTCACTCCTTCTGATAGCTGTTTAATAAGTGGAAATTACAGAGCATTCTACTTACAGGATTATGACATCTACAAATAGAGGTAGTTCCTTCTTTCATCAGCACCAGGGAGATGAAGGAGGAGGCTTGTCAGTCAAAGGCAAGTCTGGGCTACACGAAACCTGTCTCTAGTGTCCAGAGCAAAACAAAACTCAATTTGAGTAGAAATGGTGAGAACAGACTGACCTTTTTTGTTCCCACCTTGCTGGGGTGGGTTTAGCCCTGCACTGTGGTAACGGCTGTGGCGTTCTTGCTGGTGACTTTTGACAGGGTAGAACAATTCCATGTTTCTTCTCTGATGTATCTTCTATCGTGAGGGATATTGGATTCTGTTAGATTGACTTTCTGTGTCATTAAGGGGACTGTGTGCAGTTTGCCCTTTACTGTGTTGGTAAACTACATTATATCACCTGATTTTCAGATGCTAAGCCAACCTTGCATTCCTAGAACAAATCCCATTTGGTCTGGGAATATGATCCCATTTTATATGTTGCTCTGTGTAATTTGCTAACATTCTGTTAAATATATTTGTCTATATTCATAGGAGGTCCACATCTGTTCTGTGTGTGTGTGTGTGTGTGTGTGATACATTGTCTGTTTTCAGTAGTCTTATTGCTCAGTTTTTTGGAGAAGATGTTCAGGAGCATCTGAGTAGCTCCTGTCTGCCTAGGCTAACCTACATCTGGTGGGAATCAATGAGCAGATGCTCTGAGCACAAGAGCTGTCAGTGGATACCACTGGGGAAGACAGAGCCTTACCTATAAATGGATTGCTGGCCTGGAGGTAGAGGATGGCTACTTACAGAACAGCAGAGAGGGTACCTGAGGGATCTTCTGTTACCCCTTTGTCTCAGGAACGGAATTTTAGGGCTGCAGCCATGATAACCAGCTGAATAGCTCTCCCATCCCTTTTGTTTGCTGATCTAAATTCCAGAGAAGGGAGGGACCACCAGCATCCTCAGGCTCTAACGAAATGCTGAGTACCTGGCCCACTCCTGATAGGGACAGGTCCCAGGATGCTCTGCCCATTCTCTGGCTTCAGAGGAAGGAAGCTGTGGTGGTCTGCAAGTCCTGCAGGAGCAGGTGCGGGATGGGCAGCACCTCTGAGGACTCCTGTAGCCCCAACAACAGAACACAGGCTCCGAAATGATGCCTGTGGGTTCCCAGTCAGGGAGGAACTTGCCAGCTGGCAGTGTGGGAGGGTAAAATTCTCACAAAGCTTTTGCTCTAGGTGTCCTGTTACATACTCATCAGAGTAAATGTGTGACCTTGACAAGGTCATTGTCCTAGTTAGGGTTTCTATTGCTGTTGTGAAACTCCATGACCAAAGCAACTTGGGAGGAAGGGTTAGTTCACTCAACTTCCATACAACAGTTCATCATCAAGAGCAGTGAGGGCAGGAACTCAGGCAGGGCAGGAAGCTGGAGGCAGAGCTGATGCAGAAGCCATGGGGGGTGCTGCTTACTGGCTTGCTCCCCATGGCTTGCTCAGCCTGCTTCCTTATAGCACCCAGGACCACAGTCCTGGGATGGCTCCACCCACAATGTACTGGACCTTCCCACATTGATCACTGATTAATAAACGGCCTGCAGGCTTGCCTACAGCCCAGTCTTAAAGAAGCGTTTTCTCAGTTGAGGCTCCCTCCTTGGAGAGAACCTCAGCTTGTGTCAGGTTGACATAAAAAACAGCCAGCAACTGCTGTCTTTATAGTACAGGACGTGTACCCACAAGCAGTTTGCAGAGCCCAGTGATGGGGATTTGAGCTTCTCTAAGGAGCTAGGGGCCCATTCCCTCCTGGGGACTCAGTGCTATTTTTGTGTATGCAGCTCCCTGCCGAGCCCCAAGGTCCCTGTGAGAAAGGCCATGAGGCAGCCGAGGAAGGAAGAAAGTGGGTTGTCACCATTCATTGCCACAGAAGCATCTTCTGCTGCCTCCCCAGCACAGTCTTGCTTCGACCCCCTCATGCCTAGTGAGTTGGAGGCAGCCCTCAGAGAAACCAGCATCTGTTAGGTACTCAGCTCAGCCGCCACAGAGTATGATGTAATCCTGGCGACAATCCTGCTTGCAGTGATAATGCATGGTCCCAGGACTGGAGTGAGAACAGAGAAAGGATCTCAAGCAAGAAGCCAGATGTCTGCACTTCTTTCTGGAGGCTCGTCTGTCTTTCCAAGAATGCCGGTGAGGCAGAAACAGGCTCGGAGGATGATAGATCCTGTTCCCTTAGCACCACTGTGCTGATATGAAGGCAGGATTTCCACATGTCACGGGTTCATATGGGCCACCCTTCTGCAGCACTACCTGAGGTGCCTCCTGGCTCCTCCAGGCAGCAAGGCACACAGGAAGCTCTTCTCTGAGGTGTGGACAAGGATGGCCAACACTATGCTGAGATGGTCCAAGTGCCAGAGGCCCTGTTGCACTCCACCCCCACCTGATCCAAAGGCCTTTCCTTTCCCTGCTGTTCCCATCTGCCTTCCAGGGAGATTGCCTCCAACAGCACAGCAGGGAAGTGTGCCAGAGGGCCACAGGCAGCCTCGATATTACTGTTTAGGGCAAGTGCTGGACCACCACCCTTTAGAAAAGGCAGACAGTGCGATGCAGGGACCAGGAGGTACCGCCAGCTTGGGTAGGTTAGCATTTCCAGCTCCTTCCCTTCTCCCCTTGCCTCTTCTGGCTATGTGTCAGAGCCTGTCTTAGGGAAAACAAGACAAAGGGAGTGATCTCATGAGTAGCTGGAGTAAAATCTCAAATTCAGGATTAAGAAAAGCTAGAAGGAACCGGTATGATACATTTCCATCAAGCCTGGCAGGCAGCAGGCTGGAAGTGGGCTTGGCCAGGCTGCTCGGAACAAGGGCTGGGTTTGAGCAAAGGGAAGCTGCTGCAGAGATGAATAGTGTTTGGATCCATAATGGGAGGACTGGCAAGATGGCTCAGTGTGTAAAGGTGCTTGCCACCAAGCTTGACCACCTGAGTTCGATCCCCAAAGTCCATGTAAAGGTGGAAGAAAAGAACCAGTTTTATAGGGTTGTCATCTGACCTTTACACACATGCAGGGGTGTGTTCCCCACCATACAACAATGATAAGCATTTTTCAATTTTGATTTGATTTTCAATCACAAATGACTGTGGGTATCAGACATAATGGCTTTAATCCCAGAACTTGGGAGTCAGAGTCTGAAAGATCTCTGTGAGTTCAAGGCCAGCCTGGTCTACAGAGTGAGTTCCCAAATAGCCAGGGCTGTTACACAAGAAAACTCTGTCCCAAAAAAATCTCTGTGTGTGTGTGTGTGTGTACTTTATCAGCATTTTGCCTGTATATATGTATATGGTGTCCATGAAGGTCAGAGGAGAGTTTTAGATCCCCTGGTTCTAGAGTTCCAGAGGGTTGTGAGCCAGTGTGTAGAGGTACTGGGAACTGATCCTGAGCCCTCTGCAAGAGAAATGAGTACTCTTAACTGCCATTTCTCCAGTACCAAGATCTACACTTGAGAGGAGAGAGGTTCCCAAAAAATCCTACCTCCCACCCTAATGTGATTCCCTTGGAGCAGGGGAAGTGAGCAGAGCAGAGTCCTGCCCCAGGGCCTGTCTCATCTCCTAGCCATGAGGCTTTGAACAAACCTCTGGACCTTACCTTGAAGCTCTGCAGCAGGGCAGGATGGCTGCCATGTCCACAGCTTGACTGCAGGAAGTTGAATGAGAGGTGGGCATCATTAGAAGCACTTGTCTCCTTCCGTGTTGTTTTCTTTAGGTTGCTGAGTGCCCCAGGCTAGCCCTGAGCTCACTGTGTAGCCAAGGATGGCCATGCACGTCTGATCCCTTTGCCTTCACCTCTTGGATGCAGGAATCAGAGACATGCCACGCTGCCCAGTTCATGTGCTGCTAGGGATCCAACCCAGGGGGTTTTGCGTGCAAGACAAGTATTCTATCAACTGAATTACATCCCAGACCCTTTGAAGCACTCTGAGCTCAGCACTGTTTTGCCAGGGGTGGGAAGATAAAGGAGGAGTGCCCCCCTCACCCCCAGTGAGCACAGGAGCCTTCTGCCTTGTCCTGACACCAGAAGCCATCAGCAGTTCTTGTCCCCTGGTTTGCAGGTGCAGAGGATGTGGTGATGGCGTTTTCCAGATCGGAGACGGAAGACCGGAGGCAGTAGCTGGAAGCCCCTTGGAACTCCCTGGAAGCTACCGATGGCCAAGAGATCTGTGTGGCTCCTCTGCTGGTTGAGTGGTAGCAAACCACCGTCTTCTTACCCTTTGCTCCCCATACCCCACCCGACCCTCCCCACCAGCCACTCAGCAGGGTTGGCATCAAGGTGGTCTGTGATTGGCTTGAAGGGATGGACTTGAGATTGGCTGCAGGAAGAAACCTTTTTATTTTTAAATCTTGACCAACGGAAACCTTTTATTTTTATTTCTGACTCTTTATTTTTTTAAAAATTTGCGCCTCGGTATTTGGCTTCCCTGGAAGCTGTCCGAGCTCTGGTGCTTTATTTAGGTCATTTTTAGGAATGTGAAGAGGCCCGATTGGCTGCTTAAACTGGAAAAGGGTTGTGATTGGCTGGCTATGGGATGTGGTCTTTTATTTGATTGGCTGCAGGCGTTCTGCTCGCATCATCCACTTCCTCTGTTCTGAATGCAGAAAGCAGGGTTCGGGATAGTGATTGCCATATTTGACTTGAAAAAAAAAAAAAGAAGAAAAGAAAGAAATTAAATGAGCTTTGCAATATTTATTACAGAAAGAGCGGGCTGCTGCCGTGGGTTTGTGTTTGAATTTGATTGGTATTAAGTCCATGCATTTGGTCTCCCATTGGCTCACCCCTAACTCCCATTGCCATGGGCTTACTTCCACTCTGCTGCTTCTGTGAGGCCTGAGGGTACACCTGGAGGTTGCATGTGCTTTAATGACCACACCTGCCTCCACCAGCAAAGGGACCTCAGGGACCCAGAGCAGGGTCCACAGCTGGACAACAGGGCCCCCAGGGAGCTTTGTGTTGTCCTGAGCCAGCAGCCCAGAACTTAGGGGTGACCAGGAGGCAGGATTGATATACTCAATTCTGAGAGCTGGCAGGCAGCCAGTTTCCTGGATTGTGCAGAGCTCTCCAGGCCTCGCTGGCCAGCCTGTGCTAAATACAGGAGTGCTGAGCAGAGCTCTCCAGGCCTTGCTGGCCAGCCTGTGCTAAATACAGGAGTGCTGACCGGCAGCTCCAGCCTCCCCCCCACCCCGCGTCTCACTTCCTCAGGCCTTGGGATCCTCCCCGATCCTGAAGATTATAAGGATCTTTACCAGAGCCTTGAACCCAAGCAGATGCTCCAGTTTCACTTCCAGAACCCAGAGACTCCAAGCTCAGTTCCAAGCACAAGCTAGCCAGGCTTCCCAGGGTCCATTGCCGGGGCAGTAGGTCCAGGATAGCAAATGTGTTCTCCCTGAGCCCAGGCCCCCATTACATTGTATCTCACCGTGTCCGCACAGAAGGGAGAGTAGCATGGCTTATTTATTATGAAGCACCCACTTGGAAAGCCAGCTAGACTTTCACATAGTAGGCCCCACAGTTTACTCAGGTCCAGCCCCGGGGTTACATTTTAGAGCAGCTCCTGAGAAGAAGGATCTGGGTCGTCATCCCGTGCCCACCATGCCTTCCTTCCCCAGGAACGTGACAAATAATTGATGGCCCTTTCTGGTCCTGATCCAGAAAACTCTGGAGTATCTTCCCTTCTCAGGGCTTAGGCCTCCCATGTGTCAGAGAGTGTGCTGGAGCCCAGTGCCAGCGTGTCTCGAGACCAAGCCCTGGGACACCTCGTTGTTGGTGGATGGTTCAAGCTTACCAGCCTTGTTCCAGGAGGAGGATGTGAACGCCATGTCCTTCAGCACATCGTCCCTGTTAGCTGACAGTGAGATGCTTGGTTCGGCCATTGAGCTCCAGGGAGCAAGGACAGTGCAGAATCAGCTCCGTCACCCCCAACCTGACCAGCAAGAGCCCAAGAGGAGAGCATCATTCCTGGAGAGGAACAGCGTGTATGTGCAGGCACGGTATGAGCTCACACTGACAGCCACGTGCCTGCTCTGCTGGCACAGTGTGGTCTGGAGATGTGTCAGGGCCCCTGGGCAGAGATGGGGCTGTTCAGTGATTGTGTGATTTTATCTAAAGTCGGGTGTGGCCAGCTTCAGTTGGTTCCTGTGACTGTTTTGAGACCAAGCCTTGGTGATGGTGTGTGCTCTATCTTAGCAGTGGTTCTCAGCTCAGCCTCTGAGGAAGAAAGGCGCAAGTATCGCTGTGGCTTCTTATTCTAACTGAAAGTCTATCTAATGGAGAAAAAAAAATAACAATAAAGATTTTTCACAGCTTGGTGGGTGAGCTGAGCTGGTTTCTCTCTCAAAGCTGACACTACTGGGGCCCTTCCCAGGAGACATTTGGAGGAGGGAGGGTAACATCAAGTTTGATTAGTGGCTATGGCCTGGGCTTGGGATGTTGCTCAATGGTTAGTGCACACTTAGCATGCCTGAAGCCCTGTGTTGATTCCCCAGCACCACATAAGCCAGTTGTGTGGACTCACACCTGTAATCTGAGTAATCGAGGGGCTGTGAGGCTTGAGGCAGGAGGATTGAGGTGAGTTCCAGGTCAGCCTGGGCTACGATGATACCCTATCTTGAAAAGGAAAAGAAAAGAAAAAAAAACTGAGTGTACTCACATGTACACGTAGGCTCAGCTGTTGTAAGGTAGAAGTGGGAGAGGTGGGTGTTCGAGGTCATCTTTGGGTGTATGGTCAGTTCCAGGCCAGTCTGAACTACATGAGACCTTATCTCAAAGGGGGAGGGAAGTGTGGAGGTGGAGCACACGTTTAATCCCAGCACTCAGGAGGCAGAGGTGAGTGGATCTCTGGGAGCATGAGGCCAGCCTGGTTTACACAGACAGTTCCAGGACAGCCAGGGCTACGTAACTAAGAACCTGTCTCAAAAAAGGGGGAAGGGTGCTGGAGACGCAGCTCCACTGATACTGTGCTTGCCTATTGGGGGGGAGGGGAGGCTCAGGCTTTAAAAAAAAAAAAAAAGAGAGAGACGGATACGGAGTCTACCGTCTCCCTGCTGTTCTAAGCTCCTGGGGCCAACCTTGTAGTTTATCTAGCTAATCGCTCAGAGGGAGGGGGAGGGGCCAGCTGGCTCTGGTCCAGCCTCCAGCCGGGCTTGGGTGGAGCTGCCAGTCACTCACCTAGAACTGTCTAACTCAGGAGTCTGTAGAAGGAAGCAGGTCACTTAAAAAGAGCCAGGTCACTTGAGCAGGTGAAGCAAAAGGGTCTCGCATGGCCCCTGGCCTTGCAGCAGGCAACCTCAGGGCTCCGCCTTCCTAGGCACAGATGCAGGCTGCTGATAATGAGGTTGGGATGAAGACGGGCTGTGGAGTGCACACACAGCCTGGAGGGGGCCTAGGGACCTGGAGGGCAGGGAGGCAGAACACCCTGTCCTTTGTTGATGTGCCCGTTCCCAGGGACGCAGTCGAGAATGAATTAAACAGTTCTCAGTCACCGTAGGTAAGTAGCAGCTGCGAGCATCCTGGCTCCCCTCAGCCTTTGAACAGGGGCCTTTGTCTCAGAGAAATCATTCCTTCTGTAGCACCTGATCTAGTTGATGAAGGCAGGAGCCAAACTTCTGAATGGGGCAGCTCTGGACTCCAGGGGATCTCAACACCACCTACACGCCCCATGAGCGTGTAGTCCTATGAGCAAGGTCCCCGCACCTGGACAACCGCACCTTTCTCACAAGATGAACTAGACTCCAAATAACTATGGTGGCCCCGTTTACCTTTTATGCTGTCCTTTGAAATAATTTGATATCCTGGGAGACAGCTGGGTGTTTAGGAGGTGAAGTCACTGAAATAAATGCCTGAAAGGGGGTAGGGGTGGGGCTTGAGAGATGGCTCAGCAGTTTAAGAGCACTGGCAGCTCCTTTAGAGGATCCAGGTTCAATTCCCAGCACCTACATGGCAGCTCACAAAGTCTGTAACTCCAGTTCCTGGGATCCAGCGTACCAGACACAAATGAGGTGCACATATCTGGGCATGCAGGCAAAATATCCATACACATAAAGTCAAAACAAAACAGGGTCTCATGTATCCCAGGCTAGTTTCACAAATATGTATCCAAGGATGGTCTTGAATTTCTGATCCTCCTGCCTCAACTTCTTGTGTATTGTAATTACAAGTATGGACAGGGTATATAACCAGTGTTTTGCATGCTAAGCAAGCACTATGTTAGTTAAACTTCATCCTCAGCCTCTTTTAATATCAGCTAGTGTCTTGTCTCCACCTGGACAACCTGGATACTTTCCAGAAGGTCATTGGTACCCGTCCTTCAGAGAAGGGTCCTCAGGAGAGTTGGCCATCTACTTGTTGCCCAGCTCCACCCTTCCAGCCTCTGCCTGGCTTCTTCCTCAGGTTCCCGGAAGGAGTGTCTGTTTACACGCCTGCGGGAGCCTCACCCACTCTGCACACCCTAGGAGGTAACATTAGACCCAAGACTTCCCACTTCCTGGCCTTGCTTCCAGCAGAAGGTGAACATTGACAAATATTTTTATTCCTTTTACATGTAATTTAAGTGTGACCCCCTGAAGTTTATGTGTTGAAAACTTAATCCCTAAATTCATATGTCCATGGTATCTGTATGGGGCTTTTCAGAGGTCATTAGGATTGGATGACGTCATAGGGTGGGACCCCATGACGACACTGGTGCATTTTAACAGAGGAAGAGACCTGTGCCTGGCTTACTCTGCATCACCAAGTGTTGCCGTTCATTGAGTCACAATGCAGCAAGAAAGCCTCCGCTAGACGCCCACGCCATGCCCTTCACAGGCCTCCAAATCCATGAGCTAAATAAACTTTCTGACTTGCCCAGTCTTAGGTATCTTGATATAGGAACAGAAAACAGACTAGGATACTGGGTATCCTGAATGTCCCGGTCCTGATAACACAGCTGGTAGGTGTTAGGTGAGAATGGTCTGTGTGTAGGTAGCCCTCCGCACATGGCAGCCTCAGGAAGGGGTAATGTCAGTGGATTTATTCCTCGGCTGCTCCTGAGCGTCCCTCTGAACTCTTTTCTTAGCTACTGCTAAGCTAAACTAGTTTTTCTAGAAATTTCGATTCTACCTTAAGCCTCTTGGACTTAGAACATTGTTTGCTCCCACAAGATAAATCTTTATGTCCACATAGCCATAGCCAGGATCTAGGGAGTCATGGCTTAAAGTGTGTGCTCTGGCCGGGCGGTGGCACACGCCTTTAATCCCAGCACTTGGGAGGCAGAGGCAGGCGGATTTCTGAGTTCGAGGCCAGCCTGGTTTACAGAGTGAGTTCCAGGACAGCCAGGGCTGCACAGAGAAACCCTGTCTCAAAAAACAAAACAACAAAAAACAAAAACAACAACAACAAAAAAGTGTGTGCTCTGGGGACCGAGGGAAGCATCCATCCCACGAGGCTGCTTCGGGGGAATCATGACAATCCATAGGACACGCTCAGCAGTGTGACCTATGTACTGTGGGTTGGTCAGGACATATGGTCACCATGAAGTCACCCTGGCAGGTGTCCCTCCACCCCCGCCTGCTCATACGTCACACAGGACACAGACTTATCTGCAGTTCTTGGGGAGGAGTCCAGGCCCAAGTCCAATTAGGTGTGTACTAAATGCTTTCTGATGAGGACAGACAAGCTGGGATGATCCCTGAGAAGAAGCCAAGGCCAACTGCCTTCCCCCCACCACAGAGCCTCCCTCTCACTTAAGAGGCTCCTTGACTGTGGGGGAAGGGTGTTAACTGCCTTCCTGTCCCTTGGACGACCCCAGCCAGTGGGGCTGAGAGGGGTCCCCCAGACAGCAAGGGAAGCAGAGCCTGGGCACAGCAGCTCCGCCTTCCGGGGACCTTTCTTCTCCCCTGTACTTTAAACACAATCACAGCCAGGCAGGGAAGGGGATAAAATTAAATCCTTGATCATGATCAAGTGGTTAAAATAAGCCATGGCAGCCAGAGGCTTCCTCCCACCTCCCATGCAGCCAGCTCCGCTCTCAGCAAGCTGGAGGAGGAAGAGGAGACCAGCAGCACCCTGCGTGCCCAGCACCCTCCTGCTTTTTTCGTCACCCAATGGTACCCAGTGCCCAGGCTGCTACCCTGTTCCTAGACAGGGAGCCCCAGGCTTACTGAAGATGGGAACTCACAAGAAGGCAAGCCCCAGAGGACGTCCAATACTTTCTCCAAGAAGACAGGTCCTGAGCTTGGGGTTCCCGCACTGTAGGTCGGGGGTTCAAATTCTGACTCTGCCAGTTACCCGACTCTGCCAGTGTATTAGGAGCAGATCATAGAAGGTCTCTGATCAGGTCCATGTTTCTTAATCTGGGATGTAAGAACAATGCCACCTCAGCAGCTATCGCCTGCATTGATCAGCCGTGCTGTGCCAAGGGTGGTATCCTGTAGTACAGTGTGGGGAGCAGCCTGCCTGGGGCTCAGGCCATGCTGACTGGAGAGCTTTTCAAGATGATAAGAAGTAAAGGTTGGGGATGGAGAGTGGTTAAGAGCACTGACTGTTCTTCCAGAATGTCCTGAGTTCAATTCCCAGCAACCACATGGTGGCTCACAACCATCTGTAATGGGGTCTGATGCCCTCTTCTGGTGTGTCTGAAGACAGCATACTCATATACATTAAATAAACAAATAATAAATTAATCTTCTTCCCATGTGCCCTCACTCCCACCTCCACTTCACAAAGGGGCTGATCTCACTCTGAGCCTGAGAGATCCATCCCCAACCCTTACCTCCCCCTTGTCCCCTTTAGGGGGACAATCCTGGCTGCTGGCTCTGCTCATGGAGCCTCTTCCACAGAGTCCAGGTGGTCTGGGGCTGAGGACAGCTTGGTGAAACTTCTATCCATGGTGGGCAAGCCCACCACCTCTAATGTCCACACACAGCCCCAGAACAAGTCAGATGGATACATCATCTTCACAGTGTAGAACCCTGCTGGCCTGGAGGCCAGACCTGATGGTGGTGGCTGATGCTGCTCTAACCTGGTAGAGCAGAGCTGGCAGCGCTTGAAGATCTGTGGTACACGTGGTGTGCCCCAGGCAGCAACAGGGTGTACCTTGGCTCAGGAGCTAGGAAGCTCAGTGAGAAAACAATGAGGTAGTAAAAATAGTTCTTTGTTTACGTAAGCTCACATCCTTGTGTGTCCTTGCATGAAACAGAAACCACAGCCACAAGAGACTCAGGATGAGTCTTGGTGGAAGGAGTTCAGGCTTCAGTACAGGAGGCCCCGGCTGGGCAGGAGTGGGTACATACACCCTTGCAGGATCCCAGGTAGCCTCCTGGGTTACCTTGAT